TATCAACAGCATATTTTCACATGCTGTTATCCTTAAATTTCAAGATTGGTTCCAAACCAGAATTTTAACCAGAGTAAGATATTTAGACCTTGAGAGTTAAACGTTTCACTGCACATAGGTAGAGGTTAGATTCACTAAAAATGCATATAATGCTGTGGTTTGTTGATCATTAAACGGGCACAGGATGACGCAATATGCTCGCTCTTCCACTAGAGGACACTCTAACAAATATATTAAACCAAGCAAGTGCGCCTTTCCACAATAAAAAGACAAATCAAACTTCAGGAAAACACGAATTTATTGTGTACAATCAGTATACATCATAAAAACGTATAAATACCTAATTAGGGCTTTATATGTTTGGGGAGAATTATGACCACACAAGAAAATCCAAATTTTATTTTTTTGTTGATTGATTCACCCATCTATTCACTCATTTGTGTATACGTGCCATCACCTAATTAACCAAAGGGTTTCAGAATGAGAAAGCGATCTCAGAAATCATAAATGTTATCTTCGTTTTACAGGTGGACACACTGAGGCCTGAGGAGGAGAAATGACTTGCCCTAGTCCAAGTCATTAACTGAATCTGTGATCAGGATGAGACCTGAGATTCAAGTCCTGCTCTATTCTCTATGCTAAATTTTAAAATACTGTGGAAGTTCAAAACGGAATAAACCTCTGTTTCTGAGATTTCAGAAAACTTCATCCTGCACTGTTGGTACGAAATAATGTGTCCCATATTCCTTTTGTTTTCTGCATTTTGCTTTTTCCACGCTATGTGTTTTGGACTCCGCGGGCCTGTCTCCTTCCCTCTGTGATAACCAGTTTCTGGTCTTGAAAATCCATGGACCTTTGTCAGTGTTGGTGAGAGAAACCTCTGTCAATAAGACTGAGATAATGTTGCATCTTCCCTTCAGCTTCAGAGAAGAAGCAAATGGCTCTGTGCATAAGAAAAACATTGTTAGTAAAACGACGTTAGGTAATGATGCTGTATCCTGTGAAAGCAACCATCGTCCTGAAAAAGGTCTAATTCTCATTGGTTGACTTAACTATATTTTGTCATGGAAATAAAATTGAAATTCCTTTCTGTTCTCCAGAAGCTATAAATACGCATGTCTTTTCATTTTTAAGCCAGAAGGGAGTCACTAAGCTTCCCTTTTCTAACACTTGCACATGGAATAATGGTTTGGATGGAGCTCTTCCTTAAACAAAGAGCTTGAGAGTCTTACCTCCCTGAACGGTGTACAGAAGCATAGCCTACTGCTCTTTGACCGACGAGTTGAGTTCAAGTGGCATTCTCTTCCGCCACACACTCACACATTTCTAATCTTGAATTCTTTTAAGTGTGAGGTTTCTTGTGGTTGTTGAGAAATGATGGACTGAAGCTTGGTAATTCCATCTGTTTCCATGATCAATGGGCATCCTTCTGCCATTGACTCAGGGCCGCTGAAGTGCATCAGAGATGAGCCCGAGGTGACTGTGTTAATCACGCTCTGGGTGGTGTCATCCTAAATCTACGGGGCACAGCCTCTGGCTCCCTCTGCCTGGGACCCTCAAGGAAATAACTGCTCTTCTGGCCACAGCACACAGTCAACAGATCCTTGATGGACAGATGTGTGTGTGGATGAGCGAAATTCCAGTTCTAGTTCTCCGGGATCCTAGCAACTGCAAACGTAAAGCACACCGAATTCCAAAATGGAATCATTTGTAACAACGGATGTGGTGACCACAGGACTCAGAAATGAAAGCTGACTGATTTCTGTCTATTGTTACGGCTTCCACACGAGATCAGTGAGCAGAGGGCCAAGAAGGTGAGAAGAGCAGTATTTTCTTTGCTTCTCTCTCTCTGTGCCTGCTTTGATCCCAGTGTTTTCCATGATAGATTCTAAGCAAGGATTTCCTTTCCCGTGTCCTGCTCGGTGCTGCACAGAGCACCAGAACGGGCTATCTTGTGTTTTGCATAAAACCTCATTACTTCACACAATGCCCCGCACAGGAGGAAAACAGGAGGATAACTCAGTAAATTTGTGTTCAATGAATGAATGAAAGCAAATCCTATGAAAAGAGAGGAAAAATATGTGACCAGGGCAAGGCTAAATGTTTATAAAATGCAAATATAGAAAATAGGCTGCCCAAGGAAGAAAACATTGGCCCCAAGTCTTTGGCCCCAAATCTTTGGCTCAGTCGACAGACATTCAGCCTCTCATATTGGCATGAAATCTAGTAGAAACTCCACTCTCCTAAGACTTAAATCATTTTCAGCAGAACTTTTAGAGACGCATGTGTAAAATAAAGAAGTCCATCTGGTGATATAAGTATGTATTTGGGGGGGAAGAAAAGCATCACACAAACAAAGCACACCTATCATTTTTATTACACGATCTTGAGAAAGTAAAGATTTACAATCTTTTTAGTCGGAAGGTATATGAAAAAAGATTGATTTTTCCCAAGTGGAGGAGAAAAGACCCCAGGAGGTACATGAGATTTTTATGTTTATCTAACATGAGCTGAGGTTTTAAGAGGCTGGGAAACAATAACTTGGCATACATTTCTGTTCCTGAGGCCCTGGGCTTATTCTGGACAGTTGCAGAGTTAACAAAACCTGGGGGCTCTAGTAAGCAGGGTAATTCCTATTATCTGCTCCAATCTGCAGAGACGGGGGAGAGAGTCACACAAATCAGCCGGGTATCTGAATCTTCCTTACTTTTGCAGGATCCTTTATTGTCTACTTCTTCCAGCCCCAGACAGAGCACAGAGTTCAATGCCTCTTCCATAACTGGATCTTCATATGGCCATTTGCCCCCTCCTCCGCTCTTCCCAGAGCACAAACTCTTGCCAGCAAACTCTTCTTCAGGCACTTTCTCCTCTTAGCCTGTTGTGTTAGCAACCAGATTCCAAGCCATCCAATATTCTCTTCTACCCACAGCTCTTGTTAGTATAGCCCTTCCAACTTTGTAAGGTGCTAATATATACTCTATTCTTTAAATAGAAAGAGAAAGAGAGAAAGCATGAGCGAGCACAAGAGAGCTGCTAGGTGCTCAGTCCCTGCTGCGCAGCATGGAGGAACCTGAGTCTCATCACATCTCTCAAGCTAAGAACTGGTTTACAGGAAATACCCAGGATGGAGAAATGTGTGAGATGATACCAAGAAGGTTCCAGCAGTTGCATGTGAGAAAATTTCCAAGACGAGTGACCTGGTTTATTTAATGATTAGTGTGCAGGAAGGGGAAGGAGGAGCTGTTACAGGTGAAAAGAGACTGAGGGATGAGTCAATCAGAGGCATTATAGGGATTTTGCTTGGCTCCCAGTTTATTTTTTTAATTTTTATTATTTTTTTTAAGATTTTTTTATTTATTTGACAGAAAGAGACACAGCGAGAGAGGGAACACAAGCAGGGGGAGTGGGAGAGGGAGAAGCAGGCTTCCCGCTGAGCAGGGAGCCAGATGTGGGGCTCGATCCCAGGACCCTGGGACCACGACCTGAGCCGAAGGCAGATGCTTAACAACTGAGCCACCCAGGTGCCCCATTGGCTCCCAGTTTAAACAAACTCACTGCCAAAAGACATTTTTCAGGCAATCCCGGAAATTTCAAAACCACCTCAATATAAGATGATATGGAAGAATTACTGCTAATTATTTTTAGTTAATATGAAGCTTATTTAAAAATGATTATTGTTGGGGCACCTGGGGGGCTCAGTCAGTGAAGCGTCTGACTTTGACCTCAGCTCAGATCTTGATCGCAGGGTCGTGAGTTCAGGCTTTGCGTTGGGCTCCGTGTTGGGCGTGGAGCCTACTTAAAAAAAATGATTATTGTTGATCTTTATAAAATGGATATTGTAGTTATGTTCAACGATTTTAAGTATAAATGGAAAGGAGTACAATAAAACCAAACAGGTTTGGAGGTGAGCATTTGGGGTGGTTTGATGACAAGGTATGGGTGAATCAATGGCAATGAGGGGTGGCAGAAGTCAATGGCTCACTGTATTGGAAGCCACTCATCAGCATTAATGGCAGTCCATTCAAGGAGCAGAATTTCCTATCAGTCCTTGCCCCAACATCTGCTGGTTCAAAATACTAAGTTACCATAATGCAGGGCATTCAGAGAGAAAGGATGCCATTTTTTAGTGCTTTCTGAGGGAACAATACTCACAGAAAACAATGTCATCATTCTAAACGTTGAGAATCCCTTTGCCTAGATAGAGCAGGCACAATTTTTCATCCTCACAACATTCTTGTAATGCAAGAAAAAAAAAAAGACAGATAGTTAGATCTATGGAACAGAAAGTTTGTGTTTTATTAAAATAGGTTGCCAGAAGTTAATTGACTCCCATTTGTCTTTCCAAGCTGAGAAAGAGCCAGCCAAGAGGCCTCTTGGGCAAGGAGGCAGGCCAGGACTCACAGAGCCTAATGCTGCTACTTGATCCATAACTCTCCCTGCTGGTGGCCAAGCCCTTTTTAAAAAAAAAGAAAGGCTGAGCAGAGAACGGTTGCAGGGTCAGGACAGGGAAGGTGTCCTGCCCCCAGAGTCATGGGGCTGACTCCACTGCCAGGTTGCCGAGGAGTGTTGGGCTGCCACACTGTTAGTAGGTCTCAGAGACTCAGACCTTCCCACGGGGCTGCTCATGGCCACCCTGCTCCCGGGCTGGCCTAGGCCTTGGGCTGACATGCCCACCAGAGAGTAGACAATCAGCCAGATTGTGCCAAACGTGTCCGCATCTCCTTCCTCCTTCCATTGAGTGTCATGCTCCAATCAGTCTTCTATCTCCCACTTGCACAATGAGAAAGAGACACCCCACTTGGTTCTCTGCTTTCTGCCCCAACACAAGTTTAAGTACATCCAGGAGCCTTTTTTCTTTTCAATAACATTTATAGTACAGTGCTGGGGGCTAAACACTAAACCCATTAGAAAACAGAGCAGATAAAAACAGTCATCTTTGATTTACACTGGATATGGACACCTGAATTACAAAAAATTGAAGCAAAGTTTTAAAAAAATTGACACAGTTAAATATTGCAGGATTATTATTGCACACACAAAGGGACAGTCAAGTGCTTTACAAATGAAATACTGCCTTTAGGCTAAATGCAAATTTGCAATGGGTCTTTCAAGGTCCAGAGAGGAAGGAGTAACTCTCCCTGGGCAGGTGGCTTCGAGAGAAGGGGCTGATGATCCTCAGGGCCTATTGCTTACTATTGGACATATCACAGATAAGCCCCCAAATCTCTTCTACCTCACACACACCTGAAGACCAAGGAACACCTTGGAACTACTAACGTACTCTCATCGGTTTTTCATTATTAATACATAGACATATCAACCCACAGGGTTATCATCTACAGATCATGAACTATAGCCATAATTTGTCTTAGCAAGATTTAACAACATAATAAATATTCTTTATATCATTCTAGAACTGTGCTTATTCTACCTGGAAATACTCAAAATGTGCTTCAAGTACTCAACCAGAGTCTCACTTTTGCGCAATTTATACCACCACACTTTGGCATCACCTCCTCTCATTCACGAAGGCCAAGTTTGGTTCAGATACCAATGAGAAGAAGATTCTTTCATTAAATAAATCCATCAAAACTGTATCTGAAATTAGCATGGTTTCAGGATCTGGGCAATATTGGGTCCCATTATGTCCTGGCTACAGAAGGTAGATCTGAAAAATTTTAAGGGGAAAAAAAGGCTATTAAAATGATTCGAGGGGGAAAAAGAGACATGGTAGATCTAATGTAATGAGTAATTATTATTTTGTAAACACTTTTGCAAATATAATGTTCATTTTTTAAATAAGTTTCCTTTTCTTGAATTATAAAATTTCAAGATGTACAAATTTTTATATAAGTTGCAAATTTCAAATTATATGTAGGTTTTAAATACCATTAAAAATTTAAACTGTTTAATACAGAGTTTAAAATACAAGGGAAAAGGTAATACTTACTCATATCCATGTTTTCCAGATATATCTGTCACCATTTCTGCTCCCAACTTATTCTGAGAATGCCCCAACAAATATTCCTTCCAAATGAACTCAATATTTGTAACATTTCCAACATTAACGTCTGCATCAATTAATTTTGTATAAGTCATGCCTGGCTTAAGTGTCCCACTGTAAACAGAAAAAGAAGACTCATAAGCTCACACTGGGTATTCTCGATGCTGAAGTGAAGCCACATCTGTGTTGTATCATGAAAGAGGAAGTCGCGTCTGCTGGCATTTGCTTGCAGGAGATTTATTGTTTTCGTTCACGTCGATCAGCATTGTGGAATAGCAGGGTTCTGAAGCTTGAAAGGAAGGGTGAGGTAAAATGTTCCCATTCCCTACTTGACTAGTAGATGTTGGGGAATGCCTAGAGAGGCATTATCTTGATGGGATCTCCATAATGAAAGGTCTGGTCTTGGCTTTCTAGTCTCAGAACACCAGATTTTTATTGACACCAGGAAATGATCACACTGTCAACGAGGAGCTAAATTCACAGAAAACTGATCTCTCTGTTCCCAAGGGGGAAATGCTTTCTTTTTATTAACCAAGATGTCCTCCAACTCTCTCCCTGGTAACTTCTTCACTTGCATGAAAAGAATCACGTAACCAAACTAGTCATCAGAAGTTGTTTTGGTGAGCATGGCCACAGAGCAGAGAAGTGGATTATCTTGAGGCATAAGACACATCTTATCCAAGCCAAAATTAGACCAGATGTGATTTCTCTATTTCTCCTGTTTCCTTCTTCCATTCTTAATGTATTGTCTGTCTCCTCTCATTAGAAGGAAAGCTCCACAACGACAGGACCTGTGGCTGTATTCTTAGCAATCAGAACAATTCCTGGCTCACAGTGGGCATTTAAATGTTTGTTGAGTGAATGAATTTTGCTATTCCTAGGGCCTGTCTTCCTCTATTCCATGTAGAATTAATTGCTTTACTTTTCTTCTAGCTTCTGAGGGATAATCTCCCTGTTGCTCTCTGGACTGCCTCCACTCAGTGAACCTACTGTGCAGACCTCCATAACAGTATCACTAGAAGCCCACATGACTAAAATATAATCCACAGGGAGGAGCCAGACTCTTGATGCTTGACTGAAAAATAGTAATAAAGAGCGTGCAGATGCGTTTATCTGATTTCATTTCAAGATGGGACATCTACTGTGAACCAGAAATACTGAATTATTCTTAAAAGAGGATTGGATGACTATGCAACAAGATGACAGACTGCTTCTTTAAATATTTGCAAAAGAAATGCAGAGATGTCAAAATATTCTTACAATTTTTAAAAAAGATTTTATTTATTTGAGAGAGAGAGTGTGCAGGCGCTAGGGTGAGTGGGGGGGAGGGGCGGGAGAAAAGAATCTTAAGCAGACTCCCCGCTGAGCGCAGAGCCCCACGTGGGGCTCAGTCTCATGACCCTGAGATCATGACCTGAGCCGAAACCAAGAGTCGGATGCTCACCCGACTGAACCACCGAGCTGCCCCAAAATATTCTCACAAATTTTTAAGCAGGTTTGTTCCCACCTGCCCCAGGTCAGAGGCCTTTATGCAGGGCTCAAACTGCCCAGCCTTAGGCAATATCCTGTGGGCCTCAGAGCCACAAGCACACGATCCTATTGAACTGCTCTCAGGGAACTAGCTTAATGGAGGCACGAGGAACACGTGGAAATAAGATATGTTAAGACAGGGAAGAGTATTTGGAACAAAGGAAGCACATGAGTGAAGTCAGGAAGAGGAAAAGGGGGATCTAGTGAATGCTGGCTAGTGCAATCAGGGTAATCTGGCTGAGCTAAAGATGAACCAACCCGATGCTGGGAGACGGGGCTGGAAAGGTGGGCTGGAGCCTGTGTGTTCACCAGGGTCCAGAGGATCAGACTGAACCCATAGTTGCGGGCAGGTCCACTGAGGCAAGATGATGTGCACAAACGGCCAGAAAGATTAATCTGCCGCATCCTTCGACTGACAAAATAACCACAGAAAATCTCTTGTCCTTCATGCCCCTGCCCACTCTTTGAAGACAATGGAAAGCAAAGAGACAAAAATCTAATCCATTCATTGGTTTGCAAAAAGGAAGCATCTAATTAGTGTGCGTAACCTTTTTTTTTTAAAGATTTTATTTATTTATTTGAGAGAGAGAGAGAATGAGAGATAGAGAGCACGAGAAGGAAGAGGGTCAGAGGGAGAAGCAGACTCCCCGCTGAGTGGGGAGCCCGATGCAGGACTCGATCCCGGGACTCCAGGATCATGACCTGAGCTGAAGGCAGTCGCTTAACCAACTGAGCCACCCAGGCGCCCTAGTGTGCGTAACCTTAATTCTGAAATGGATTACAGAATTAAACAACGTAAGTAAAATCTCTAATACAAAAATGCTAAGGCTGACCAAAGAAAAGATTAAAGGAAACTCAAGATAAAAGGGGACTTTAGCCAAAGGTACACAGTGAATGTCTCTGCTGAATTATTCCCACCTTTGACTCTTTCAACACTTGTCTGGTTTCTGTGCATGCTACTCAGACAGCTCATTAGAAATCTGGCCATTTATATAAATGTCTTATTCTATAAGTAATTTGAATCTATACAAACCAAAACATAGGCGAACTTGTATAATGTTAATGGACTGGATTAAAAATAACTTGTTTATTGTCCACTTGCTTTATTATCTAGATCTATAATTTTGTGCTATCATTTTCTAACCTTTTCTGTTTGTAGGTGAACTGCAGAGAAAATAGAGCCTATGATTTCTATCTTATATCTGGAAAGCCAGAAGTGAAAAGAAAAGTCAAATGTGTCAGGACAGCCCGTGGCATTCCGCTGTCGGGAAAGACTGAGCTGCTGACTGAGCCAGTCTGAGCGAGTGCCCAGCACCGTGCTACCTGCCACTGCCTCGTCCTTGCCCCTTGCCTACCTGGCCATCACAAACTCCTCCGTGTTCCCGGTCGTTCCACCTACACGGAGAAACAGGGTCCCTTGAGTGGCGTTGTTTCCATCGAGTTTGACAGATAATTTGTGCCTCCAACCTGGAAATTAAAACAAAACAAAACAAAAAAGTGAAAGTGAAGAGGTGAAAACACAAGAAAAGCATGACCTCCTGGGCACTTTGATGTGAACGCAACTTTCAGCCTTGAACACGGCTGTTCGTTTTCACGAAAAAGCACAACTTTATATAGCTTGAGTGACTTTGGTGAAAAACTACATTAAAAATACATATAAATGTGCATGATTTCATGTTATGAAAGTAAATAGTGTCATGATATTCTCTAAAGAAAATTCTTCAATTTTCCAGGCATTTTTATGACTTTTTAAAATGGAAGTGTGTGTCTTCTTCTATTACATTTGTATTCTGCAGCATGTATGGTTTGCACTGCCAGCTTTTTATTGGCCATGGTTTGGCAACTAACCCAGAATAAATCTAGAAAACCTAGCGGGCAAGAGGGTCTGTGCTTTTCAGAATGGGAGGCGAAGTGAGCTGTCCCGTCGTCTCCCGCGGGGCTCTGGGCTCAGAATGCCCAGTTAGCCCAGGTCTGGGGCAGCACAAAGCCTGCCAACAGGACAAATCCCTCGCAAGTGGCCAAGGGTCACTTTTACAAAATCTGGAACGAAACAGATCTTTCATTGTGAATTCTGAAACTGCTGTATGTTTAGTAACACACTGAAAAAATGCAATTCTTCCTAAAATTGTTTGAAAAACGTTTGAATGGGGAAAAAGTCTCCAGAGAGAATTTTCAATTCCTGAGTTAATCGTTGCCAGAGTTCTTCCCTCCTCAGCGCACCCCACTGTCACGTCTGCACGGAAACCCCTCTCCCCAGGCTCCCAGAGACACCTTATCCCAGGAGCCCTCGGGACCATCTCATCTGACCTTTTAGCATATTTGGTGCAGTGGATCCCTCCTTCCTTCCTCATTGTCTTTCTTTCCCTGGCTCCTTTTACTGCTCTCCACCCCTGTTTACCTTCTGTCTCTGAAAGAGACTGAGACCTTCTTCAGTCTCCTTTGCAGGTTCTCTTTCTTCTCATTTGACACACTTTTTTGGGTAATTTCATCATCCTTCTCTGCAGCGCTGATGGCTGTCTACACACAGGTATATCTCTCAAATCGCTATCTGTAGATCACGTCGGTCTCCTGTATCTCTGACTACCTTGTGGGGACACCACCCCCCCTCCCACATCCCAAGGCATCTGAAAACCTGGTAAGTTAGAAACTGAGCCCATCAGCCTCCTCCAAGCCAGACTTTCTTCCCGTGTCATCAAGTTCGGTGAATGGAACAACATCCAGCGAGCCAGAATCATCCTTGACTTCTCGACTTTTGGCATCCCTCAAATCCATTCGCCAGGTTCCATTTTGCTTCTACCTCCCAACCATCTCTGTACTCTCTGTCTCCTTTCTGACCAGCTTTATTGAGACATAACCATTGTGGACGTGTATACCGTGATACCCACATAATGATATACTGTGAAATGATTAGCACACAAGGTTAGTTCCCATCCATCACCTTCCATGGTGGTGAGGCAACACTTGTCCTAACAGGTCATTCTGCTTCCATCTTGTCTCCCTCTAATCCATGCAGCAACAAGAATGGCTTTTTAAGAAACCAATCTGATAATCTTAAGCACCTTTTGGTGGCTTTCCAGGAGCTCATAAAGTCCGAATTCACCACATGGCTCGTGATTTCATTATTGACTTAATTTACATCTCCTGCCTCATCTCATATTACTCTCCTCCTGGCCTCCACAGTCCTGACGTGTGCTGTTCCTTCTGCCTGGAACGCTTCCATTTCCTTCGCTCTTACTCATCTTTCAGGAGTCTGCTCAGAAATCACCTTCCCTCAGAAAGCTCCATGGACTTGGTTGTGGCAGATCCTCTTTTGCACGTCTCTTAGCAGAACGTTTATTAGCCGGGATTGAAACTCCCTACTAGTCTAAACTCACTGTATTGCTTCTTCACTGCATCCTCAGAGTCTGGCCCAGTGCCTAGTTATTTAGTAGACACTCAGTAAAAACTGTTGAATTTTTAAAGATAAGTACCTTAAAGCATTACAATAAAAAAACTGAGCTTCAGTACTTACGGGCAAATGGGGAAAGAGACCCTGTGTTTAAAAAATAATATGATCTATTAGGCTGCATATTTTTGAGGTGAAATCTATCAGCAAAATGACCCATTGTTGGACAACCTTCTTTGGGACAATGGAAGCAATTTCCCTGGTGACAAAAAAAAAAAAAAAAAAAGAGGTAGGTTAGAAATGTAATTAGAAATGCTGACCTTCAATAAACTCTTGATGTTTATTGTAAACTATGATAAATGTAAACTGTGATCATGTGAACTATGCTAAATCCTTGAAATTTAAATAAAGCATATGCATTTAAAAATGACTAAGTTGCCTAGTAGGCCACCCTGTCTTCAAAAACAAAACAAAATAAAACAAAAACAACTGAGAGGAAAAAAATGGCCCATGAGAAATGTGAGTAAATGCTATGAACAGATAATCCCCAGAGGAGGAAAGTCAAATAGTCGATAACGATGTAAAAAGCTGCTCGATCTTACTAGTTGTCAGGAATGGGCTAATGAAAACAACATACAATTTCATACTCAGCAGATCTGCAAAAATTAAAACAATTTGCAACATCAAGTAGTGGTGAAGACAAGTGTGGGAATCTCATTTGCTCCTGATGGGGATGTAAGTTGACGGGTGTTGCAGACAGCAATTTGGTAATGTCTAATAGAGACAGAAATGTGGGGCGCCCAGGGGGCTCAGTCAGTTAAGCATCCGACTCCTGATTTCAGCCCAGGTCATGGTCTCGGGGTGGGGTCAAGCCCCGTGTGGGGCTCTGCTTGTCCTTCTCTCTCTGCTCTCCTCCCTGTGCTTGCACTCTCTCTCTCTCTCAAATAAATAAAATCTTAAAAAAAAAGACAAATGCACATATGCTTTGACAATTTCACTTGTATTACATGCCGTAAAGAAGCTTCCACACAAGCACACTAGCAGACATACAGAAGTGTTTACGGAGCACTGCTTTTTTTTTTTTTTTAAGATTTTATTTATTTATTTGACAGAGAGAGACACAGCAAGAGAGGGAACACAAGCGGGGGGAGTGGGCGAGGGAGAAGCTGGCTTCCCGCCGAGCAGGGAGCCAGATGCCGGGCTCCATCCCAGGACCCTGGGATCATGACCTGAGCCGAAGGCAGACACTTAACGACTGACTCACCCAGGTGCCCCTGAGAACTGCTTTTAATAACAAACACCTGAAACAACCAAAATGTGTATTAGTAGAATGAAGAAATCAATTGTGACTGATTCCTATAAAATAAATACATTAGATCTACATATATCAATGTAGATCTCAAGTTTATAAAATTTAACAACAAAAAAGCAAATCCACAAAGATAAGTATAATACTATTTATCTGATACATATTGGATTTACTCCAAACCCTGCCTCAGAGGAGGGTGGGAAAGAATGAAAAGGAATGAAATTTTATCTGTACACTTTAAAATGTGGAGCAAAACTAACAAAATGTTAACTTAAAAAAATCTGGGTAGCGGTGTTTGAATATTTGTTATTTTAGATTTTGAAGTTTTGGATATATAAACCATGAACATTTAGGCTAGGATTATAGTAAAGCATCCCAAGTAAAACTCTATTTTTAATGAAGAAAACTTGTAACAATAATAAAAGAGCTCATATTTCTTAGGGGCTTACCACATGCCAGGCACTTTTTGAGCACTTTATGTGCATTTAACTAATTAATCCTCACAAGCTTCTTTATTATTATGGTGCTTTCAGCCTCCCTGTCGAACAGATGAGGAAACCAAAGTGCAGAGCAGTTAAAGAATTGGTCCAATGATGTGTGTCTAGTAAGTGAGGGAGCAAGGATGTGAACCAGACAGCCTGGTACTAGTATTCCTCCTTCATTTTATTTTATTTTATTTCATTCTGTTCTATTTCACTTCACTTCCTTTTTATGACTGTTTGGGTAGAAGCACAATAAAACATGTCAAGGAAATTGAGGCAATGTTCTCTAGTTTATAGCCATAATTGGAAGCCATGTGGCACAGGAGCCTAAGCTTCTCCCATCTCGCAGATTGTAGCCCATTATCTCTGACTATACTGTGACTCCGAGGGCTTCTTCCACATGCCTTCAGTACAGTAAGTGCCAAGGTCTCTTTAGCCACTCAGAGCAGCATCTGGGGCCAGAAGGAGGAGGCGGCATAAAAGGAGGTGATTGGGGAAATGCCAGGATTCGGCTGGCAAGCTTCCCAAGCATGGCAGTTCACCAGGGCGTGCCATGGGTAAGAACACCTGGCTCCTGAGACGGAGAAGGTGGCCGAAGGGCACCCAGTCACCTTGCTCTGTTTAAGAGGATGGAAACGGCTCATTCCTGTCCCAACACTGCACTTAGTCACAAAGTAGCTATTACTTACAATAAACTCCAGCTGGAAACCCCACATTTCCTACCCTGATAAAACAGGGAATTAGGTCTCTGAAGCATAAGAAGGAAAATCTTTCCACTTCTCACTACAAAATAGATTTTCTTTCTCCTTTTCATAGTGATAACCAAATGAAAAATACATTTAGTTCAGATCTGGCACCGTGCGTTTTATGACTTAAACAAAATCAGATTTGGTACTTTGTCCCTTATGGATCTGTGTGGAGCTCCTGGGAGCTATCTATGCCTTAGTTCGGCTCCGTATAAATAATTAAATTTTAATAAAATAATTTTCACGTTCCAAGTAAACAGTAATATGTTTGGTTGTACCTATTGGTTGGTTCAGCCTTCTCGGGGCATCTTTGAAGATGACATTTAAAATATATACACAGAAAATTTTTTGACCTGGACTTATGCCTGTTACACAGTAGCATCTAATTACTGCATAAAAAATGGCCCCAAATGCAAGACTGGGGATATAATCTTCAAAAGAGCTGAAACAACCAGAATACAGATAGTTGGTTTAGTTATTTAAGCCCTTCAGCAATGCAGCTACTGTTCAACACTCTGCACAGAGAAAGAATCTATTATTTCCCAAGATGGCAGACGCATTTTTTGCCATATACTCAAAGCACTAATTTTTCGTTGGCCGATCATGGTTCAAAAAATGACTTGCTAATTAAATTCCACTGCAAAATACTTTACTTACCGCTTTGAAAGATCTGTAGGATCTACAAGGATAAGCAATAAATGCATCAGGGTTGAGAATGCTTTCAGTATAGAAGCGATGACTTCGGGCATGGTTGCAATCAAAGAAGGAAGCCACTTCTACGAAGACAATTTCCAATTAATTGATAGCAATAAACGGATTAACTGATAACTAATAGTAAGAACCATTTCTTAGAAAAGTAACTTAAAAAAAAACAGATTCTTGACTTGGGATGTCTAGACAGCCAGGCCTTGTATGTAGGCTTGGAAACTGCACAACATTTATCAATAGCACATATCATTTTCTTTGTACCAAACAATTCTTTGTGTGAATCTCAAGGGACATTCAAGCAGGGTAAATAAACAAATGCAAATATAAATGACTTTGTGTTCTGATACTATTATCTTCAACACCTCCCGGATCTTTGACCTAGAGCTTTAAAGCACTTAGAGCTTTCAGGATTCTTGTGCACACAGCATCTCCACCTTAGACCAATTTGTTCTCTGTCTCCCTGTTTCTGCAGGAAGCCTGAACTCCCTCCTATTCAATCACAACACAGCCAACAATGTTAACCCATGCACACCTTCAACTGAGCTTCGAGGTGTGACAGGTGAGAGGTATTATAAAGAATGCTACAGACAAGTTAGTTCTGTCATTGTCAGGCATGACATTATGGCCACTAATAGTTCAGATTATTGCAATAAGAAATAAGATGCATCTAAATACATTTGTGCATTCTGAAGTTAGCATTCTAGTCACTTATGCTCTTAAATCTTCTATAGCAACATCTTTAGTGTCTGCCATGGACTAGTTTTCCAATGACCTACACAACTTGGTTGATCTTTGAGAATCTAGATTTTGTTTTAGTATATGTGGTAGATCATTATACTGTAATAGTGGCCTCCAATGAGTCACTCTTTTTTAGGTCCTCACCCCTTTGCAAGAACAGATTACCATTCCTCCCTTCAAGAGCAAGGGGCCTATTTTTTTTCACCCCTCCACCCCACCCTCGATGGCAAGCTAGTCCCCTGACTTGCTTTGACCAACAGAACATGGAGAAATTGACCCCATGCAAATTCAGGTCCTGTCTTAAAAGACCTTCTAGCATCCACTATGGCCTTCTTAGAACCCAGCTTTTCTGTTAAGAAATCCTGGTTAACTGGCTGGGAAGAAAGGCCCTGAAGAAGAACAGACCATTTAAAGAGAAGAACCAGTACCAAGACCCCAGACGTGGAAGACCATGTTGAATCTTCCCACCTAGCTTAACCCAGTGTAGCCCCCAACTGGATGCACTCACACAACTCACATCGCAAAGCAAAGTCTCTATGGAACTCTGCCTTAATCTTGACCCTCAGAACAATGGGCAATGAAACCACTGTTCTTTTCAGCCATTCTGGTTTGTCATGCAATAGATAATTGAGACAGGGTAACTTCAGAAAGCAAGATCAATAAATGGCATCATTTTTTTTTTTTAAACAAGGACATCTCTTACATCAGGTCTTTTTATATTCAGATTTATATTCACAATTAATTGTGATGTAGACAAGATGGTTCGTTCGCATTTGGGAAATATCAATTTTAAAAGTAAGTAATTTCTTAGTCATAAGTATAATGTAAAATCGAATCTCTTAATGTCTTTGAACTCACCTAAATCATAACATGAATGATACGCATACTTTTTTTTTTTAAGATTTTATTTATTTGACAGAGAGAGACACAGCGAGAGAGGGAACACAAGCAGGGGGAGTGAGAGACGGAGAAGCAGGCCTCCCGCCGAGCAGGGAGCCCAACGTGGGGCTCCATCCCAGGACCCTGGGATCATGACCTGAGCCAAAGGCAGACGCTTAACCAACTGAGCCACCCAGGCGCCCGGATACACATACTTTAAATAAAGTTGTAGGAAATTTTATAACGTCTTAAAATGATAGCTTGTGAAAAATGTATTTTACTTGAATTAATTCTTTACAGAATTTCAAATGTTCTGTGTATGTATATAGTTATATAAAGAAATATTATGATCTATATTTTATCCTAATAGAAAGGATTTTAAGTCATAATACAGAAAATAAGAGAAATAAGTTTTATAATAGGCCTTATTTGAATGAATTTTGCTTATCTCTTCTAGCTGGAATTGGCTTTCTCGTTTTGAGTGTCTGTAATTCACCAGTTATTGTTTCTTTTCTTCAGTAGGCATTGCAAACAGATACTTCTAATCACATTTACTCTTCAGAACAGATATTAAAACTTTGCAATTTGTCTCTAGAGAAGAGGACATTCCAGCTACTCTCAATGTCATGATCTGTGTATCTTTCCACTACACAAACCGATTGGAAGATCAAATAATTACATCATCAAGATATTCTGACCATGTGGAATCAGAGGGTGAGATATTTAGAGTCATTCACTTATTATCATATCATCATACATTATAGTATTATGCATTTTATATATTATGTATGATACATTTCATTATTTACATGATGATGATATGCAGATCCAGAGAATAATGAAATCCCCCAATAATAACTTCTGTTGCCTTATTACCAGGTGCTCTATAGATACTATTGTTATTGGACACTATTATAAAGGGTTAAATACTATTTGTTTATTTGTGATTAATTTAATGTATAATCCATAGTGATTCTGTTAAAAAGTAAGTCAAACCATATCTCTCTTCTGCTCCAAATCCTCCCACATCTCCCATCTCACTTGAGTAAGAGCTTAAATCTTTATAATGGTCCATAAAGCCCTGTATTATCCTTCAGCCCCTTCTCTAACCTCATGCCTCCTGCTGTCCTCTTTCAGTTCACTCCAGCCACAGTAGGCTCCTCACTGCCATGAACTTCCCAGGCAGGCTCCTGCCCCAGGCCCCTTACACTGGCTGCCCCCCACCCATTGGCCTGGCATGCCTTTCTCCCAGGTATCCTCATGGCTAATTCCTTTAGGTCATCTTTTCAGTAAGGACTCCCTGACCACCCTATTATCAAAAATCTCCTTTCCCCACTCGACCCCCACTATCATCAGCACCTCATATTTCATTCCATGCTTTATTTTGTCTCCTTACTCTATTATTGTTTTTCTAGCAAATTAGAATATTAGCTCCATCATGGAGGGGTTCTTGTCTTCTGTAGTCATTTCATTTTGTATTCTGTTCCTAGATTTATGCCTGGCACGTAGTAGGTACTCAGCACAGCTTGCTGAATGAATAAGCATATCCTTCTCATTTACATTGAGTGACTACAACCTGCTGGACATTCTGACAGGCCCTGGGGACACAGAGATAAATAAGACACAGGACTGACCTCAGAGATCTCACAACTGGCGGGAGCTTTATGCCTGTGACTGTGTTTTGGGCTAAAGTATATTTTTATATGATATTACGTGCAGAAGGGTGTGGATCCTGTCCAAGGAGGGAGCCGTGTGAATGTATAATAGCCAACTTCATATTTTAGGAAGTATTTACCTTCCTTGTAAGCGTGGAGATCGAAGTTAAATAAAGGTGTTATTAAGTCTTCACATCCTGGCATATGCTTCCCTCCATTTGGGTAAAAGTCAAGGTGACCACAAGCATTAATAGTCCCAGCACCTGAAATAGATAAAAGCAGGATAAATGCTTCTAAAATTCTTTTCCATGCTTCAGTGTAGTTTCTGCTTGTCTTGAAAACTTACCAAACTCAAAGAGCAAGCGAACTGCATTTGTATGAATGACATCGACGAAGTCGGCATCCGAGGGGTCCAGCCTAACTTCATTTGGAGTATTGTGGAAATATGGCCCGGCTGGGTCCAACCCTGGGAAAAAACATGAAACTCCATTAAACCAAGACATGTTCTCTCCAAGAGTATATTCATAGTGTTGTTATTTTGGAAGGATGGATGGTGAGGGCAAGGTATTCTTCCCTTTATGATATATATAGGTCAAACACCACGCAAGACAAAATACAGATACATAAATTGAGTATAGACATGCAGGGCTCTATAGATTACAATGTCACATTCCTATACACAAGTAAGGCTGTGTCCGGAAAATGCCAAAACAACTAACAAAGTCAGAAGGATCAAATTCTAGGGTCTGTGCAGGATTACCGTATACATAATTAAGGTATGGATTGCAGATGATCTCAAAAGCAACATCTGTATGCAAAAATATAGATAAAAATAAAAGATAAGAGCTCTTTAGCATGTAAACATGAACCTACAAAGCAACACACTTAAGCTTAGTTTTCAGCTGTGGCTCATTATTTCCACTTCATTACATTACAAATGAGAAGCCTGACATCCGGTGAAGTGAAGTGACTTGACAAGGTCACCATATACTGGAGGCAAAATGGACTAAGAGCCCAAGCGTCTAGACCTTCAGCCCACTGTCTCCTGTTCAAATATCTAATAAAGATAAAGCTAAGATATCTAGAGGTCTCTAAGATGTTATGACCATTCACATATCCACTCATTTATACATTTGACACTTCTTTATCAAGCACTTACCATGTGCCAGGGACTAGGTTCAGCACTTGGATGCAAGGAATAAGGCCTAGCCTTGTCCTCAAAGAGCTTTGTGTTTGATGGACACAAAGAGAGAAGACAGCTTGATCCAGGATGCTCTCAGTGCAGAGACAGAGGTGAGCCTAGGTATTATGCAAGCGCAGGGAAGCAACCCATAAGGCAGTCTTAGGAAACTGGGACATGCTTCTGCTGGAGGCGGGAAATATGAGCAGAGATCTGAGGAACCAGAAGAGTCGGCCAGGGTAAAGAGGGGTCAGCAGTGCCCCAGGGGGAACTCTTCATGGCCTGCAGGTGAAACAGTTAAGCACATCTGGGAAACTAACTGGTTTTTGAGGGCTGGTGTACAGAGTTTTAGAACTGGGTGAAAGACAAAGCTAGCATTTTAAGCAGGGGCCGGATGTAATCTGAACCACGCAAAAGGGTTTGGACATCCTCTGGTTGGCAATGGGAAGCTCTTACAAGTTTGCAAAAGGGGAGATTTACATTTTAGCAAAAAATCCCTTTGCTGTACAGTGAAGACTGGATCCCAGAGTGGAGAGGACTTGGAGTGGAGGGGCCTGAGCCCTGTGGAAATGTGGCAGGAGTGAGAAGTGAATGCTTGTGCCCCAAGCTTCCAAAACACAACAGTCTCAGGATCCATCTTCAACACTAGGAAGTTCATTTGATTGTTTAGTGTGCAATCACCGATTTGCTGCAAGGTATTATGCAAGCACAGAGTCAAGAGCTCTGCAGAGATGCAACCAAATGTGAGACCCACTTCAGAGTCTACTGATCAGAGAAGGGGCAAATAGCAGGGAAGCAGGGCCCTTCACGTGGGGGGTTCCAGGTCTCAGGAGGAAAGGCAGCAGAAGGTTCAACTTAGGCCCGTCTTAAAATCTATCATTTAATTTTGCTTTGAACTGATTTTATGATAAAGCTAGTGTCTTTCTTAAAGTTTTAGTTCTTTTGTTACTCAAGGAACATGATTGTTCAAAAACTAACCACTTGCAAGGAATATAGATTGCAGCGTCCAAATTATAGCAATCTTTGGATTTTCAGAGAGCCTTTAAAAATGTATTGTTTTCTATTTACTCAACGGGATAATTCACTTGGCAGGAAGAATTGGGAGTTATATAGTATCTGATTTTGGAAATCGAAATTGAGAAAATCAAAATCTTCACAAATTTATGGTAACCCAGTGTGATTTTTAATACATGAAGAGCAATGTTCCTCCCTCTCATTTATGGCTGAAAGGCTGTGTAGGCCCCATGACATTCCATCTTCACAAACTCTGCCTGTTTCTTCATTCCTCCCGACCTGAAAACTTAGAGCAAAAGGAGATTTTTGCTACCCAATGACTTCAGAATAAAAATACAATGTTATTATTCCAAATAAGAAAGATGGCCATGGGCTGGTGCTGGTGTTGGGGTAGGGATTTGGGAGCTGGAATAAAGGAAGTTTTCAGCAGGAGAAGTCTGTTATACCAAAAGGCTGCAGAGACAAAACACTGTACATGTAATTTGGCATTCTTAACTATTTTTAGAAAAAGATACTTAAAGTTCAAATTCGAATTTAAAGCATGTGTGTGTATATATATATATATATACACACACACACACACACAGAACTACAGTTTATTGTTTTAACCAACAGGAAATGTACACCTACTATGTGTCAGGCCTGGGGAGGTGTGGGGATAAGGGGGACTTTCTTAGTAGTTCAGAGTCTATCAAAATAAACAGGTGAGTGAATAATTGTATATATATGTATATGTATGTATATATGATATATATGTATATATATAACCATGCAACACAGGAGTTGCATTTTCGGATATAATAGAGGGATATTTCAAAGGATATGGGAAGTAGAGAGAATTAACTCTGCCTGAGGAAGGTGCATTTGGAATGAATCTTGAAAGATGAACTGTGGCCATTTCGGGCAAGGGCCAATAGCATGGGGTAAGGCACAGAAACATGAAAAGCCATGATGAAACATGAACCATTTATGTGACAAGCTAAGAGGCTTTGGACAATGGAAAGTTCCAGCAGTGAGTGACGCAGCCTGTATTTGGAAACATGAGGACTTGGCAGCACTTGTGGAGGATTAGGCTGGGGGACCAGTCATGAGTGACCAAATCCAGGAGAGCAATGAAGAAGGCCTGAGCTGGGACAGTGACCAGGACATGGACAGGTGCAAAGCAGACGAGGAAATCCAGCACCTGCTGACTGAATATTGGTTGGGGATGCAGAGTAGAGAGACGTGAGGCCAACTTGTTGATACTGAGGCTGATACTTCGATCTCCATCCATCTGACTCAATTGGTTTGGAAGTCGGCGTACAGGGAAGGGAAATGATTATCATCCTCAAAAATCTAGTTCACAGTATATACTAATTCATGCTAATTCATAGTATACATACCTGACTCAGCAACTTATTTTTAGACTTAATAGTATATCCAGGGGTAATATTCAACATTCTAGCAACTGGAATAGCATGGGCACAGGCCTTAAACCAGTTCCACACAGCCAGCATCCACTGTGAGCTGCGACCCCGATGTGTCCAGGACAACCTTCCAGAACCATCAGTGGGGCTCTAACTCATTCTTTGTGTTAGCAGTATGGAGTTGCACAGCATGTGTCATATTCATCAGCCGTCCTCTGCTGGTAGAGGTCAGCTCCCATTACTTTCCCATCACAGGTAATGCCACAGTGAACATTCTCTAACGTGGATCTACGCCCTTATGCTTTGAAAACCCTTTTATGTGTAGTTGAGTCCCATTTTCTCCTATCTTACATTTGCTTCCTCAACTTCAGTTGGTGTTTCAGATACTTGATTTTGTGTGTAAACAAATGTGTAAGCAAATTCCAGGCCCAACCCCAGGGCAGGCTTACCTGTTATTCTTCCAAGGCCTGGTACCCTTGACCCAGCTTCCCCAGCCAGATGTGCTCCCACGCTGTGGCCAATCAAGTGAACTTTAGAAGGAGAATATCCAAACTTTTTCTGATAGGATTTTTAAAGGAAAACAGGACACGTATTTTTAAAAGACCAGGTGGAATGGTTTACATGTGCTTGACCAATGCTTGACATATTTGTCCCTCTCACACACAGGATGGGAATTAGTCAATGGACAAAGTGACCCCCATGTCCACTCGCCTCCTTGTCTGGCTGAAGGAGAAAGCACTGGAGGTGCTTTCCTAGAATGTCCAGCTGCCTTTGTTTTTTGCATTGCATGGCTTCCCCCCCACGCCCACACATTCTTAACTACATCATTCAGTCTATGGAAGTGAGTTTGGATTTCGAAATGAAGATTGTTATAAATACCGTCTATTTTCAACTGGAGGTCAGGTTTTTCTCCCTGTGCTAAGGGGCCTCGTGGTCCTCAGGAAAAGAACAGCCCAGCAACCACATCTATGGCTTCCAGCCCATACCCATTCTTCCTGAGACCCTTCCGGTATACACCCAACACAGATCAAATGCAGTCATACCCGGGCTGTCACCCACCTTACCCATGTCTGTCTCCTCCAGATGAAGGACACTCAAGCAAATGCCTGGGCTGAGTTTGGTCTTCAAAGAGGTCTTTTTAAGAATATTTACAAAATGACTATGTGTCTAAGAGTTCTCTCTCTCTCTCTCTCACACACACACACACTCAACGGGGAACAAAGGAGCAAGCATTTTTAGTTTCATCTAAGCTTCGAGTTCTCTATGATAACAGTGAAAATCAAGCAATTGCCTTCACGTGGATAAATTTATCATTTGATCAAATGCTCCACTTTTTTCCCACCAGTAATGACAATATTACGTGCTGCTTTATAAAGAGTATTTTCTCTCTCATTAACACGTGAATGGCCGCCCCAGGATGTCTCCTGGTCCTTAGGGGGCCCCTTCCTCCAATGCTGCCACCCTTTCAAATCTATGCTTTCTTTCTGTCTTTCTCTACAGCCTGTTATCTGAGATCAGCCCTCTTCCCCCTCGGTCTTCCCCTCCTCTGTTCCCATCAATTCACTGAACATGTACCTCAGCAGATGCTTCTCCCTTCAGCTCAGCAAACATTTCCTCTCTTAAAAGCCACTACTATTTATTTCCTGGACCTAGAAGAGCCCACAGCGCAGGCCCCAGGATCCACGAAGAAATTCACAAAAGCTTAGGACAGGTTTTTCTCTGAAGAGGAGATGAATCGGATTTCGTCCTTTGGATGCAAGGACCCATTCTAGTACCCCCTTGTGCCCCGGTCTCCCTCGACAGCAAGGAAGAGCAGACAAGCAGTGTGGGGGCAGAGGTGAGGACTTGGCTCCCCAGGTCCTCTCCCGCTGCTTCCTCACTGTGCTCAGGATTCGAGGATCACCTCCCTTGGCTGCCCATCTAGGTTAGCTGATGCTCCAGTCTCTCTCCATCCTTGGACGTCCTCATAGTACCATCCCCACCCTTTGTCAGAGCAGAAACACTGTCTCACTCGCCCTGTATCTTCAGTGACTAGAACAGCGCCTAGCCCACAGCCAGTGCAGAGAAAAACATTTGTGGAATGAATGAGTGAACCCTCCTTAAGAGTCTGAGAGGGTCATAAATCTTTAGATTTTACTTCACTACATTTTATGGTGGGAAATTACTTTCTATAATGGTAGGGCACTTGGAGATTTATAAATGTCTCAGAGTATAACCCTCATAAATAGCAAAGTCTATTTTATTCTTTTAGAGAATGTATAGGTTATTGTGCCTGGACTGGACTACAGACCTAACTAATTCACTGCCACAGAACTCACTTTCTGTGGGAAAATGTATTTCACATTCTAAACAAATAGTATTCATAAGATGGGAACAGTTTATAATCATTAAGGATAGGTTTACAATGGGATGAAAACTAACTGGCAGGAGAGGGGCCTATAAGCTGACCGGGGAAGTGACCTTGGGGGTGGGGTTAGGGCTGGGGAAGCATTTGGTGAGGAGCCTGTGAAGGGACACTGCCACCAAGTGGCGCTTTGGAGAACCACAGGCACTTCTTTCCCAAGAAGTAACTTCCCTTTCCTGGTCACCATACAGAAAGGAATGCTTAATATCTCACACGTTCAGAACTCGTGTAAGCTAAAAAAAAGCCATAAAAATCAATGCAAATTCTTGGTGTTATTGTGCAAAACCAATTAAATACAATTTTTTAAAAATCAACTTTTCTTACCGCGAGAACATCAATAAAATATGCCACCTCAGCACCGACAACGCGGAGATTGTTTACGGCGTGGATGTATTCCAGCGAACCGTTAATCCAGTCTATGTTAATGCAGTTCACGTCTTCCACTTTTAGTAACACCTGGCACAAAGATTTATTATGAGTATGGAAGAAAGAAGAATTAAAGAAAGCCAAAGTGACTGAGCAATGGATTCTATAAGAAGTAACACTACCAGGTATTGAACCCACTACGGGCTAGGTCCTGTCCTAACCCTTTTACATATATTATCTTATTTAATCCCCTTTGCAGATAAGGAATCCAAAGCATAGACAGGTTAATTAAACTTCCCCACGATCATGGTACGTAGAACCATGGTATGAATTCAGGCAGCCTGACTATACTATACTATATGGCCTTGTAAATAATTAATTGCCCACTATGTTAGCAGTCTATTAATCTTGAGTATCAGAGAGGAAAATTAATTTCTTGGAGTGGACCTGGAAAATTTTTTCCTTTAAGCGAGAAATTTATCCTATCGTTCAATCTTTTGTCAAAAGTGAGAATTTATCAAAGAATAATTACAAAGAAATATGCTCTCATTGTAATCTAATGCAATTCATAGTAAGTGAGTATAAATAGGAAGTGGATAATTCATTTGGGGCCTTGGGACAGGGACAATGTGAGTAACTAGATGGAGGAATTTCCATGAATATGCATTAATATATGCAAAGTACATTCTCATTAAACATACAGCTTTTACACTAGTATAAAGAAGAGTTTGTCCACATCATACATTGCACATGTCTTGCTGCCATTTTCCATCTGATTTCCATCCAGGTATGTTGATACGGGTCATCTTGTCTGTTCCAAAGTGTGAGGTTTGGATAGTTAGATAATTAACTGCACTGATTTCCTGTTTCAAGTGAAAAGAGATTAAGGTAAAATAATAATTCAAAATTATTTGACATTTAGTAGAATTATTCTAAGTCTGCTGAAAAGTCTTCCACTACATTTGATTCTTAACAACCTTCTTTAATATATTTTTACCAAAGAAATAGCTATTGCTATGCACGGCAAAGTGCCAAGAAATTATTAATGCATTATCAAATACAGTATATAAATGTAATCACAGGAAAGGAAAGGAAAGAAGAGTGTTTGGTTTTAAGGCAAGGTTTGTAAGACGATGCTGGGTCAGTTTCAGTCAGGACTTCCGTCAGCCTTACTTTTGTATAGCACTTACTTCTCGGCTACCGACGGGATTCATGAGCCGTGTGCTGTTTGAGGCTTAGAAGCATGCTGCAAAGGGGCGCCTGGGTGGCTCAGTCGTTAAGCGTCTGCCTTTGGCTCAGGTCATGATCCCAGGGTCCTGGGATTGAGACCTGCATTGGCATTGGCCTCCCTGCTCAGTGGGAAGCCTGCTTCTCCCTCTCCCACTCTCCCTGCTTGTGTTCCCTCTCTCACTGTGTCTCTATCAAATAAATAAATAAAATCTTTAAAAAAAAAAGTATGCTGCCCAGGTGGCAAAACAGATTGTTCACCCCACTTTATGAGGGAGGAACAAAGGTTAGGATCTCACCACATGCAGTAAAATAGCATATTAAAGATCATTTTATGCAATTACCTTGAATGTTCTTTTGTATTTCTTGTATTTTGTTGGATTGTTTTTATAACCAACCAAACTCATCTTAGTGATACTATGCATTTAAGTGATTTCGTTATTAAGAGAAAAATGAAAAGGCACAATATAAGAAATGCTCAAAATTCTATTTTGAGAAAAAAAATGAACACTCTAATCAGCGAGTTGCAAGTTTGACAATGGTGAATCTTATAACAAAGAGCCTTCAAAAAAGAGCCTATTACTAGCTACTTGTGTTTAACAGTAACATGCAAATTAATCATACAAATTGCTGGCTAGTTAAAGTATCTCCAAGATGGTAAGCAAACAATCATGAGAATCCTAAATTGGCTTACACAGTAATTATAATATAGCTACACTCGTATCTGCTTATGTGCCAGGAATTGTTCTAAGCACTTTATGGTGTAGTTCATTTACTCTCCATGACACTGTGAGGTAGGTACTAACTTTACAGATTACGAAAGGGCACAATGAGAAGTCAAGGCACTTCTCCCAAGAGCACTCCGGCTAATGAGTCCCGGAGTGGGGGGCTGAAACCCACAAGGTCTTTCTCTGAAGTCATGTGTTCCACCACTGAGCTCTCAAGTTGGGATCTGATCATACTGTTCTTTACCGATAGGGCACAGAGCAGATGTGGGATTTGTTGAGGCAGATAATAAAATCAAATGTATCTGGGCTTTCCTGGAAGTTCTGCTCTGCTGAATAATGGAATCCAAAGGCAAAAACATTTGTCCATCTATATATTTAAAAGAATCCAGATGTTAACTCCAACTCCAGCTGGAGCCCCTTAAACACCAACTATATTTCTATTTCTATGTCAAAAAAAAAAAAAAGGCACAAACCTATTTGGGAAAGGGGATTTGGTAGAAAAAGTTTGTTTAATCTTTCCCCGTCATGAGAAGAGCTAGATGCTGGATGTGGGGCCTTGTGAAAGCTTCAAAGTGTCAATCTGACAAGAACTGTGGGATCCGAGCATCCTCCATTGTCACGAAAGCCTTGAAGAATTTAGTAAAGTAAGAAAGGTAGAAAAACATTTTTGTTCACTTCATATTCAATCTGGCACACCCCTGTGACATGGCATACTAACCTAGAAAACAGGAAACTCGAAACAACATCATGGAATCAACTCAAAGAAGACACCTCAGCTTCTGCTGCCACAAGGACAGAGCCATTAAAGGGTGTCAGGACAGAAGAGATTATCCCAAGAAAGGGTTAGGTAAAGTCTCAATGGTTATCTGGGCGCCCAGGCCTTTACTTTTAATGTTCTTATCTTTGAGGAATCATAGAACCTCACTGGTATGAGATCAACCCATTCCACAAAGCATGACTGGTCTCTTGATGATCTCATTTGTAGTAAGTCAAAAGTAGTCACCAGTTAGGTATGTTCCAGCCTTGAGAAAAGCTGCAGGCCCAGAAACTACCATAATCATGCAAAATGGGCGTCACCACTAGTCACTAACTGTATGAGCCACTCTGGGAGATAGCAGGTTGGATTCTTCATTCTAGCAGAAATGTAGCTGTGAAGACCTGTGACTCTCAGAACTGAGTCCGGTTTATTGCACCATGTTTAGCTTTAAGAATTCCTCCCTCTGAGAAAAGAGTATGTTAAACCATTGCATAGTTAACTTCTGCTTTCTCATATACAAAGTCAGATTTGCACAGTGTAGCAAATGGCTCAAGTCTGGGGCCATCAAGGTTTTTAGTATTGTACCCTGAGTCATCCTGTCTCCTCACTGTTGGTATAAAACACTTTAACTACAAACCTTCAGGCTTCCTTCCATTGCAAATTCAAGTACAGATCTGGTTTGTCATGTGGTTTTTTCCAAATGGAAGGGAGTAGAAAAGACATGAGGAATATTGCCTTTATGGTCCGTTTATTAGGAGAGTGCTTGGTGTCTGATATTCTCTTCATTGCCTTTAGGGTCCAGACTCTCCCGAAGACTGACCTTCATCACCTGTTTTAGTGCCTGTGCTCCATGAAAGTTCAACCTTAAAGTCCTAGCCAGAGAGCGAAGGTGCTCCAAAACATTTGTATTCAACAGATTCTCTTTACAATAAAAAAAAACTGTGGCAAAATAGATGTAACACAAGAATTACCACCTTAACCATTTTTAAGTATACAATTTAGTACCATTAAGTCACTGGCATTGTTGTGCAACCATCAGGACCATCCCTCTCAAGGAATTTTTTTATCATCCCAACCTGAAGTCCTATACCCTTAAATAGTAACTCTCCATTGTTGCCTCCCCCAGCCCGTGGTAACTATTATTCTACTTTTCCATCTCTATGAATTTGACTACTCTAGGTGTTTCATATAATGGGAATTTCATATAACGGACAATGCTTGTCCTTTTGTGTCTGGCTTATTTAACTTCGCAAAATGTTTTGAAGGTTCGTTCCATGTTGTGGAATCTACCACAATGTCATTGGAGTACACTTGCTTTGTAAATTTCTCTGTACCCCAAATAAGGGCTTTTCTTCTTTGTTTTTGATAGAACTGTCATCTACAGAGCAAATGGTGTAATTCAGTGAAGAGCTATGTGCGCATATGTAGGTGTGTGTCTGGTAAGTTTAGACAGCAACAAATCAGATTCTGTTTGTAGGGGGTGGGGGCACAGCAGAGGCTGTCTTGGCTGGGTCTGATGGAAAGTGAGGCTCAGGGTTATAGAGTTGCAGGTAGAGACTGGAAATGATCTTTCTCTGGTCTTTGCTCCACTTAAGTCTAGTATCATGCTTTTTTTCTCTGCCCCTGAGATCACATCACTCTTTGGATTTCAACTCTCACCTCTGGGTAAAAGACTTTGGAATCTCTTCTTCCAGCTCTAGACTGCCCACTGAGCTACAAGAGGCAAATATCCAATAGACTGCCCGAACCTCACTGGTCCAAAATGTAACTCATTCTCCAGCATCCCCAATCAAGTTCTCTTGGCAAGAGAGTCATTATTCTTCCTGTGACTCATGTATAGGATCTCAGGACAGTTTATGATGTTTATCATGTCAATTTTCTATTATCATACTCATGCTCATGCTCTGGCTCAGGCTAGTTCTCCGAATCTGATCCAAACTGCATTATGGTTTTCTAGCACTCTCAAATAGAACTTTCTGTGATGGTGGAAATATCCTGCATTTGCACTGTCCAAAATGGTAGCCACTAGCCCGCATGGGGCTACTGAGCACTTGATATGTGGTTGGTGCAGCTGAAAAACTGAATCTTTAATTTTATTTAGTTTTAATACCCACATAGTTCATGGTTACCATGTTGGGTGGCTTGGTACTAAACAGTCTGGCAATCACCTGCAGGCTCTCCCAGCTCCAGTCAAGAAAGTGCACTGTAGCCAGGGTAGATATCTTAAAGCCTCTTTAAAAACTTCCAGTGGGGCCTCCTGGCTCACAGGATGAAGTCCAAAGTCTCCAGGAAGGAGTTATAGAATTTGTCTCTAAACTACTTTTCTAACTCACTCCATATTTGAGGACTTCCTCTCTGTCCCCCGTCTAACTCAACATGTTGTATTCATCAGATGTACTCTGCAGGCTCTCTCCTTTATGCATTTGCCCACGCCAGTTCATTTGTCACTTCCCTGTGTGTCTCTGCTTACGCAAACCCTGCCCACCCTGCGGGACACACCTCAAACAGGTGTCTTCCTCAAAGCCTTTCCTGGCTCCCGTCCCACCCCCAAGGGGAAGGTAAGCCCTTCCTCACCACGCTCCCAGATTCTTTTGTTTGTATCTTATGTAACAGATTATAATTTGTGCTGCAACAGAGGTTAATTGTTTCCATATCCCATTTTCCCTACTATAATAAATTTAGGATACTGTCTTGTTTAATTAATTTAATACATAATAGGTATTGTTGCTTGTTCAGTCTTGCATGTGGAAGGCTCTCAATTAATATATTAATAGAAAGAAGTATCAGATCAAGCTCATATGAAACAACAGATTCAGAGCAATCTTTATATTTAAGTACTAGGACAAATAATATGACAAGAAAATCTGGCTCACAATACTAAAAAGAAATACCAGCCTTTAAATCAGTAGTTTATGCCAGAGTAAGTTACTGAAACTAGGTCTTCTCTATCTATAGCTACAGGTTCTATTTTAGAACAACCTGTGGGTGAAGGCAGCAGGTTAGCTTACCTGATAGACTTTGGGATTCTGTCTAGTGTAGAGCAGAAAGCGAGTGTTTACCTCCTCTGGAGACCAGGGCAGACCTGCCAACTGTCTTGACAAAGTCCCAGTCCATGGTAAACCGTCTTTAAAGCATCCCACCCTTTCATAGCAAACTTCTTTTCCTGAAGCAAAAAGATGGGGTGTCAGTATTGTAGGAACCAGGCCCAAAGAGAGGCTATGTTTCCCACCATGAGGGTTCATTGAAATAGGTCTTTAAGTTAAGCAAGCCTGGCTCAAGGAGACTCTCTTTAAAAAAGTGCTCTCCTCTCTCCTTCCTCCACCACCCTCCTCATATTATTTTTGACCATGACTTTGTAGATCAAAGTGTTGAAGAGGAGAGCACAGGGGCTTTGGAATCAGACATTCCTGGCTTTGGACAATTCTTTTACCTTTTATGAGTCTCCACTTCCTCCTCTGCAAAGTGGAGTTAATCCCACTTACCTTACAACCTTGACAGGAAGAGTAAATGAACCATTACACTGGACAGCCCTTGTGAATGGGCCTGGACGTAAGAGGGATCCTGTGTGTTCCCTGAATTCCTGCCTTTTCTTACGAGACTGAAAGTTTTTAATGAAAGGGACCTTGGAGTCCCCAGAGCCTAGCACTATGCCTGACATGCAGTAGGAGTCTATCATAGGTCTCCGGAGAGTACAGATGACAGCAAAGTTCCATTCAGTTGTAACCGAGTCTCTTCTTTCTGGAGCTCACCTCACTCATCTCTACAATGAGAAGCTTTGGGGAAACTTGAGTCTTAATGTTTCTGTCATCCACTGACTTTCCTTTATCTTTTCAATAAGGCCTTTCTTTTTCATATTAAACAACTTCATTTCCTACTGTTTTATGGAGGAATAATTTAATTTATTCAATTATAATTATTATTATTTGTTCAATTTATTATTGAATTATGTATTCATTACTACTTATTAAATTGGTTTTCATTTATTAATTTTGTGATTATTCATTAGTAGTGGCTAGATCTGTTCAAAGACTCGAATTTGAGGGTTTTCTTTTATCACTTACCAAAATATGGTCAATCAGTCTTTGACTTTCAAGTCCACCAGATTTTACTTTAAAATTTTAGGAGATATTGCATTTTCTCCATTCCCTAGCAATGAGGTTCCACAATACATACAAAGAAAGAGGAAAGGGAATTTTTTTTTTAATCAGAGAAATGTTTATACATTGAAAAGAAATTGTACAGATGAGCAACATCCCCTGCTCACCCCCAAACCCAGCCCTCTCCCCAGAGGTGACAGTTATTCTGGTGGTTACCCCAATATCTATATTTTACGTGCTTATACTCCAAGTTTTGATTTATTAACTTTAGTCACACATAATCTATTAACTTGCTGCAACAATAAATGAGGATTTAACCCATCTATTTTTGGGATCAGCCAGAATCAGGGCAAGAAAAAAATCATACCAGTTATTTTAACTGTGAGAATTTAATACAACAAATTGTCATCAGTCAGGTACTGGAGAACTGAAGGCACAAAGGGGACCATGTAGGAGCTCCCAGGTGACAACTGCAGGGAGCAGCTACTAGCAGGGGGCTGGAGGATGACACAGAAGAGGTTCATTAATTCAAATAAGGAAACGTGGAGGAAGGGCTGCTAGACCCGGGGAGGGGTACTCTCTCCAGAGCTGGGGCTCAGTCCCTGAAGAGGGGTGCTAGCTGGCTAGTGCTGACATCTTTGAGTGGGCACCATGCGCCTGGTTCTGGGAGTTTTAGAACTGCAAACTGGAGCCACCTCCTGTTACTGGATGATTGTTTATGCAGGGGTGAAAAGTCATTGCTGAAAAAACACTGACAGGAACCAGGAGCTAGCAAGAAGGAACACCTCCCTTTTTCATCCTGGAGAGGACACTGCCTCAGTGTCCCTCTAGTGTCCCCACTGACAGTGCTTCTCTGGGAGTGGCTGAACAGGGTGAGCAGGGAGTGAGCATCCGAGTGCCGGCCAGGCAAGGGCTGACCTGGAGCTGGGGGACAACAGCTCCTACAGGACAATGCTCTCCACACTGTCTCAAATCCTCCTCCTCTACAGTCAGTAACACTGTTTTTAGCTCATTTATCGGCTTCCTTTGTAAACTTAAATAGTAATCTTCTATTTTTTTTTTAAGAGAAAGAGAGAGAGAACATGGGGAGGAGAGGGGTAGAGGGAGAGGGAGAGAGAGACTCTTAAGCAGTCTCCAATGCCCAGCATGGAGCCCAACACAGGGCCTCGATCTCATGACCTCAGCCAAAATCAAGAGTCGGATGCTTAAGTGAGTGAGCCACCCCAGGCGCCCCAGTAATCTTTTATTTTTTGATCCATACCTCCTACTCCTCAAAACTTGACTCCCTACCTTTGCAAGACAAGGTTTAAGCCATGTTGCCTGTCTTCTTCCCTTCCATCTTCCAAGGCCTCCCAGCCACATTTTGACTTTCAGACCATCAAAGCTGATAACATTCAGACTTTGTTCTATAATCATAATTAAGTCTTTCATGTTTTGTCTGTAGGCTGGCTCCGAAAAATTGAATGTCGATAAACGGAAACATATTATTATGACTAAATAAATATTTTTCCTTTCAGAGCCAGCTAGCATGCTATAATTACATTTCCTTGTCTGCACTTCATTATTCAGTTGCCCATTCCCTTCAAAGGAGAATATTCAAATGAATTATCTTTTCATAGACATGAATTGCTCACGATCAGTGTCATTTTAGTTTCCTCCATATTTGGCTTTTCTTGGGCCGTTTTCATTTTCCTGGATTCTCTGGTTGCCTTTGTTTTCTCTTGTTGCAAGAGTAAACATGTGCCGTCTTCAATATATCCCTAGTACAGTGCAGCTCCTCAATCAATATTTCTCCTGCCTGCAATCTATTCTGTTTTTTCTGTTTAAGCACACATATATCCAGTTCTGATTTGGACCAGTGAGTTTACATTTGGATCGTGCTTTTTTTTTAAAAGATGTATTTATTTGAGAGAGAGAGCATGGTGGGGAGGGGCAGAGGGAGAGGGAGAATCTCAAGCAGACTGTGCTGAGCATGAGCCTGACACAGTGCTTCATCTCACGACCCTGAGATCACGACCTGAGCCGAAATCAAGAGTCAGATGACTTACCCAACTAAGCCACCCAAGTGCCCCTGGATCATGCTTTTCTAATACAACCTTCTGTTTTTTCCTAGAATGTCCAGCTGCCTTTGTTTTTTTGCATTGCATGGCTTCGCCCCCATGCCCACAAATTCTTAACTACATCATTCAGTCTATGGAAGTGAGTTTGGATTTCGAAATGAAGATTGTTGCAAATATTGTCCATTTTCAATGTTTGTAACTTATCAGGGTTATTGGTCACCGTGCCCTTTTTCATAAGGAAATACCCATTGAAGGAGCATAAAGTTAGAAGAAACTACATGTGATAAAGGAGACCGATCAACTCATAAGGTATTAAAGCCATTTAGAAAAAAAAAATGGAAAGATTAATAGTTCTCTAAAAATAACATGTTTTCTATAAAATCAGTAAGTTGATATTTGGCTAATAACTTATATGGCCAATATAAAACAAAGAATATAGTTTTAAAATGGTAGCCTTGAAGATACTATGCAGCCACTGAAAATGCTTACAGAGATTTGTAATGCAGTTTGTAATGAAAGCGAGAATGTTACAGTGGTAGGGGGGAAAGGCAGTTAGCAGAGGTATGTGTGGTTTTATTTAAAATGCATGGGGAAAATAAAATTTAAAGGAAGTGCATCAAAATATTAACAGTAGTGAGAACACAGTTTTTATTTTCTTTACCCTTATCTATGGCCTTAAATTTTCAATGATTAATAATAACTACTTCTATAATAAAAAAAGTTACAACAGAAAAAAAAGAGTACTTCTTCTCCAAATTATGTCCGGTGCGGCTTCTTTATCTTATTAATAATAATTAAAACAGCAAAAACAGACTGAGCCCTAAGTGTCACATATGTGAGGAAATGGAGAATTAGAAAAAGTAATCACTCTTGCCCAAAGTGTCATTTCTATTAAGTGGTAGTTGGAAAAATAAAATGAACCATCAGGCAGCTCATTCTATCACTAAATAGAATCGAGAGGTACATTAATTAATTAGCTTTTGCTAGGTTATGCTGTGGTAACCAAGAACCTCCAAATCTCCTTGGCTTACCAAAATTAAGGTTTATTTCTCATTCTTGTTATATTTTGGCTGCAAGAGTTTTAGGTTGGCTGTGGTTCTGATTTACCGGTTCTCTTCCTCCAGCATCTAAGCTAAAGGAGACCCTTGTTCAGAACTTGTTGCTCTTGGGGCAGAGGGAAATGGGGTGATGGCTGAACCCTGCAAAGGCTCTTCACACAGGCATTCAGACTTGGACTGCTCTCTGCACATCCTGTGGCCAAAGGTGGGGGCTGTGGAGTCCTCTTCCCGGGACTGGGAGTAAGTAGTGGGGGACAATAATACAGCCAGCCATGGAAAGGTATGTGGGTTTACATTTTTACAAGCGCCACCAGAAGGAAAACCTTTTGTCATTTAAATTTGCATTTCTTGAATTACTTACACACTTGAATATCTTGTGCATTTCTGGCCCTTTGCACACCTGTGGGTGAGATCTTTGTGTCCTAGGCACATTTTTCTAAAGTTTGCTTTTTTCTTATTTGTAAAAACTCTTCGAATAGTGGAGAGATTTGCTCCTTTCCAGTCAGATATTGAGAAAAGATATTCTAGTTTGCTGGTTATGTTTTGGTTTTATAGAAGCTTCACATTTTATTCAATAAAATGATCAATCTTCTCCTTTATGGTTTTGGGGTTTCATCTTATTTAGAAAAGCCTTTCTTACTTCAAGATAATGAACAATTTCACTCTGTTTTCTTTTATACTTTTCTTGTTTCACTCTTTTACTTTAAATGTTCATCGATCTGAGATTTATTTTGGTATAAAAAGACTTTCATCTAGAATTTCAATTCTCTTGGCCTGAATTTATACGAAGTATAATCATTTTAATTTTTTCCACACCTGTGGTTATTTCCCTTTGTTTATTTAAATCTGTCAGCATGGTTTTCTATTCCTTGAGTTTTATTAAGCAACCACCACACATATTTACCAATTATATTGCCTTTCTCCTGTTATTCTAATGCGTTAACCTCTATGTTTATTTTTATTAATGAAATTCTTCCTTCAATGTTACTTGTTCTTTTTCTAATTTCTTCAATTCTTGAGTCATTGTATTTTGATATATTCTGCAATTGAAGTGTTTTATTTCCTCTTTGACCTAAAAGTTCTTTAAAAGAGCATTTGAAATATAGCACATTAGATGAAGCTAGGTTTAATTGGCTAAGAAATCATATAAAGTTGGCATATCAGTTCATATTTTCTTAATTTCCACTTTCTAAATGAGTCATTTCTCTTACTATGAGCAGCCTTTTCCAATGACAAAAAAAATCTTGAAAATAGATTCATTAATTTATTCAAGAAATATTTATTTGAGTGCCTATTAGGTGCCAGATATTGTTCTCAGCACTGGGGATTCAGCAGTGGGAGAAATAATCCTAGCCCTCATGGAGTAGAGTCTAGTGGGGCTGTGGGGACAATGAATTAGAATAAGTAAATAAAATGAAGGTGAATGTGTGTTTAGGCGAGGAGCGGTTTACTATTCAAATAGGGTGGCCAAGGAAGATCTCACCAAAGGAGGTGGCATTTTTTTTTTTTTCTTAAGTAGGCTCCATGCCCAGTGTGGAGCTCAACATGGGGCTTGAACTCATGACCCTGGGCTCAAGACCTGAGCTGAGATCAAGAGTCAGACGCTTAACAACTGAGCCATCCAGGTGCCCCTAAAATAGGAGGCATTTGAATCCATAGCTAAAGGGGCTAAGGAGCAAACCGTGGGGAATTCTAGGCAGAGAGAGGGGAACGTACCAGCCTCTGAGGGAAGGAGCATGCTTAGCGTGAGAGAGGAATTATGAGGAGACCACCCTGACCAGAGTTGAGGGAACAGTGGGGAGAGACAGGTCTCTCAACACCCGATTTTGCAGCTTCAAAAATCTAAACCTCTTTGGGGAAAAGAAGTGGGGTGTTGACTTTTTCATTCATTTGTTTTTCAATTTGCAACAGACTCATCTGGCAGCAAAAACTGATCTAAAGCTATAAATATATATACTTGTTATCCTACTTAATAGGAGTATTCTTAGATTTTACTACAGAAATATCCATGTGGTTGTTTATAGGGTGCTGCCCTGGAATTCCTCTCGGGGTTTGTATTTTACAGTGTACTTACCATAGTCCCTTTCTAAAATAAAATAAATAAAATAAAATTGGAATTCCAGAATACATTGGCCCCAGGGGGTTGAAAAAGGGATGGTAGACAAGTAGCAGGGGGTAGTGTTTAGAGAGGTTACAGAGGACTAAAGCATGCAGTGCTTGGCAGATCATTGGAAGGACTTTGGCATTTCCTCTGAGGTGAGGGGGAGAGCCATGGGAGGGCCTTGAGCAGAAAAGCGGTGGCAGACTGACTTAGCTTGGCTTTTGTTTTGAGAATAGATTGAAGCAGGAGAAGGGGAGAGGCAGAGAGACCAGCTGGGAGGCTACTGTAGTCAACTAGACAAGAGACAATGGTGTCCAAAAGGTTAAGGTGATCGCAGGGTGGGGGGTGAGAAATGGTCAGGTTCTGGATAAATTGTGAAGGAGGATCCAAAAGAATTTACTAATTAATTGGCAGGGAGGTGTCATAGAAAAGTTGAGGATGATGTTGAGGTTTTTGGATGAAGTTCCTGGAAGACTGGAGTTGCCACTGATTAGGATGGAGAAACTCTAGAAGGGACAGATTTGGGAATAGAATCAAGAGCTCGGCTCTGGATATGTAGCTTTTATATGAATCAGACACATCGTGGAGATGCCACAGAAACAGTTGGATGTGAAACTGGACTTCCAGGGACAAGTTCAGCTGGAGACAGGAACTTGGAAGTCTTAAACACAAAGTTGGTATTTGATGTCATGAATATGGATAAGATCACCAAGGGAGTGATGACGGGTAAGGAAGGGGGATGATCTAAGGATGGAGTCCTAGGACACTCCATCATTAAAACATCAGGAAGATGAGAGGACGAGCAAACAAGACTGCCAAGAAGTCACTGAAGAAGAAGGAAGAAATCCAGAAGAGCGTGGCATCCTAGAAGCCAACTTAAAAAAACCTGCTGCCAGGGGAGGGGGCAATCGAGAATACCAAATACTGCTAAGTCTAAATGGATGAGGGCGGAGAATTAACCACGGTTTTGTCACCATGGGAGTGACTGGTGACCGTGACAAGTGTAGTTTCTGGGGTGAAAGCCTGATTGGAGTGAGTTCAAGAAAGAAGGGGAGGAGAAATAAGAAACCCGATGTACAAAACTCAGAAGTGGGAGTTTTAAAGATGGGTGAAATAACACATTTGTGTGCTGCTGGGGACGTCCCAGAAGAGAGGAAGAAAACTGGTGAGTACTGTTGAGTAGAGTCCTTGCACAGGTAAGAGGAGATAGAGAATAATACGTATTCTCCCCGCTACGGGGGGGAAGGGCTGCCCTTTGTTGGGACAAGAACAGCTTATCTCTTGTGAGAGAGAGGGAAGGCAGAACGTATGGGCAGGTGCATGCAGGTAGCGGGACAGAGGTGGTACTGGGAGCTCCGGGAAGGCCTCTTCTCTTTGTTTCCCATTTTCTTACTGAAATAGGAATCCAGGCCATCAGCCGAGTGGGGGTGAGCAGGGAGGTGTTCGAGGTTTCAGTGGAGGGGAGGAGGATGAAACAACCCAGGAGCCCTGGCAAATGAATGGACAAGGGAAGAACAGTAAGACGGCTTGGCAGCTTTAGAGTCTGCTTCGGCTTGGTGACCATGAACTCACAGCAAGACAATCATCATGCTATGTGTTTTTTTCCAGGCACATTCAGCTGCCCATTCAGCTGCGCATGGAGATGAAGAGTTGGATTTAACCAGGGTTGTGGTCAAGCCAAGTGAAGCAAGAGCAGCAGAGAGAAGGCCAATGTGTACGCTAAGGAGGGATTATGATGGACCATGGGATTCAAGCTAAGTAAGGAGGGAACTGAGGAGACAGTTAGCTGCCAAAGAAATTTTTAAAAAGTAGGGAGTAATATGAAATTTAGATTATTTATATATATACATATATATGTGTGTATATATACATATATATATTTCTATGGCACACATAAGTTCATTACAGAGCTGACATAATTAAAGATTTGAGGCTCCATCACCTCTGTATTATTACCTATATTGGCATCTATTAAATTTGTAACAAGGTCCGTTTGGGTTCAGTTCTCTGGTAGCTGCCATTTTACAATTTATGTTTAATTCGATAAGCCTTCAAACAGAAATCACTCCCTACCGAAAAACACACATTTCTGATGGGCGTAGTCCCGGAAGCCTTGTTAGTCACAGCTGTGTCTCCAGAGCTTACCCCAGTGCCCGGCACAGAGTAGGTGACTGTATTTGTGATGAAGTAAAACAGATTAGCATCCTCGTTCAGAGAGCATTTTGAGGGGTGGGCTGTGAGTAGAGATGGCAAAGAGGCACTGAACTCTGGAAGGAGGAGAGACCACCTGAGAAAAGAAGGCGTCAGATAAAGGAAAAGAGACCAGGGTGGACTTCTCTCACTCAATTCTGCTTTGGGAGCTCATCAGTCTAACCTCTTCCAACATTCAGATCAGGCCTGTTTTGTGCCCGTTCCTGGAATATACTGCAACAAACAATAGCTCCATCCACTCTTATCCCATACTAAAAAGCTATAGGGCAGGGACTAAAAACACTGAAATTCTTTGATTCTATTTTGGTTAAAACATATCAGCTAACTTTTGTTGTACTTTAGGAGGTAAAAACAAACAAACAAAAAACCAAAACCAAAAAAAAGGTTAAAAACAGAGAAAACCAACTACTACATAGGAGATGCATAAGGATGTAAAGAGCACAAGTCAGTGAGTGTTGAGTTAGTGTGTAAGAAATGTTCACAGACCAAAATCCCTTCCCAAAATCAAGATCCAAATAGAAAAAATCAACTTGGAAGTTCCAATCAGCATTAATCATTCATTCATTCATTCATTCATCTACAGTGTATCAGGTATTGAAATAAAAAATATGAATGTATTTTTTCATTTACTGCTACACACCTATCTTAGAAGTGAAGAAATTAAGACTTTAACAGATAAGTTATTTGACCAAGTTCATAAGGCTAATAAATACAGAGCTGGGAACCCGGTACAAGACCATCCAGCAACTATTATATTATTGGAAATAGATGTTTATATGCTCATCAGATTTAGTATTACTAAGTTGATGCATTTCCCTTGGATACTTTTATGACAAGTAAATCAAAATATAAACAGAGCCAGTATTTCAAAGGCCATGTCAATCACATTTTGGACGTAACTATCCCCCCTATTTTTAAGGAACTAATAAATTATGAGTCTTACCTGTTGATATGTCGAAGAGTAAGAGTGCAGCAATCCAAAATGCAAGCATCTAAGTTGATTTTAAAAATCACATCAATTCTTCTTGAAGGTTTTTACTGATAAAGTCACCTTACTATAAAATATTAAGTAATTTTCTTCAAAGTGATACCATTCAACATCCAAATTCTAGGTCCAGAAGAGCATGGAGTTCACACCACTTTTAATCCCTATGCCCTGCAAAGTAATGTGCCATAGCCTACACTCCTAGCTCCACGGTAAGAGATTTAATTAGCAGGGTGTGCCTTCCACTAGGTGATTGGTAATTAAAACTTCTGAGGTTTTGCTGTTTCATCATTAGCAATATTTTGATTAAGCACAAACCGAGTCACTCTTGAAAGTTATTTTAAGGCTTTGGAATGGTAGATAATAAACATTTAAAAGGCACAATTTTTCCAAATCAGGATTATGCATTTTGAGTATTCTTTCCCTAACACATTTCTGAGAGCAAACATTTGCTTACTACAAACAGACCCTCCTAAAATATTATGAATTGAAAATGAACGTGGCTAATAATGGCTAACCTGCTCATTATAGTGGGGCAATATAATGTAGTACTGTCATCTAGAGTCCAATCACCTGGGTCCAAATTCTGGCTCTGCCACTTATTAGCAGTGACCTTGGGCTAGTAAGCCTCAGCTGCACCTTTCCTCACTTGTAAAATGGGGATAATCATGGTTCCTACCTCATAGGGTCACTTAGGTGATTGAATTACTTATTATATGAATAGCACCTAGGAGATAGTACTATATTGAGTTAATTTTATTGGTTATTTTTCCACTATGTTAATGGTTATAAGAACAAATTTACGCCCACATATAGCCAGATACACCCTTACGTCATGGTACATAGGCTTCATAATCACATTTAATGTAATGCAAACCTGCTTTGTTGGCTTCTACATTCACTTAAAGTGATTGAGTTCACAGATATCCTCAGTCAGTTTCTCCATTTTTAAATGTTCATAGAAAATGGCTGAAAGTATTTCTTGGTTTTTCTTAATTTTTTCCTCTCACCATAACAACATTAAGATTTTCACATACTTATGAAGCATTCAGCCCTTTCATCCAATCTTGTTACATTATGAAATGATCAGACAAAGGAGAAATTATGACCAAGAGCAGTTGCAAGTCTTGGGGGCTTTCTCTGGTCGAACTATTTCCTGGAAGTGGCAGCGGCCAGCACCCTGGCAGGCAGGCAAGCAGACACGCAGGAGCTCGAGAATGGGCTCTTCAGCAGCACGGAACTGCGTGCCTGGCACACTGAGTGGCCGGCAGCTACTCCGTGGAAAAGGCACGTTCTAGAAGCTTCGCCAGTTGCCACTGGTCATTTTTCCAAGAATCCATGTTTTCAGCCACACAGGCAGGATCCACATGAATCGCAGAATCATCAGCAGCACCTCTCAGAAGACAACTCTTACTCATGTCTGCATCCCAAGGGACAAGCCCAATCCCTGGAATTTAGCAAGTGCTTAACAAACGGTTTTGAATGAAAAAATACAAAGCTCTTCAGTGATAATATAGGGACTTTTTCCAAGCCATGCCCTCTTCCATGTTTTCACAGCACTTTTCAATGAATCTGCTATAGCCCTCAGCATGTCATAGAATGGTTAGGCATTTACCTGTTTCTCTCCTCCCCTAGACTGAACTGTTCAGAGACAGGACTGGTTTTTGTTCATCTCTGGGCCCTCAGGATCTAGCAATAGATCTCTCACAGCAGATACAGGGTCAATATTTGTTGACAGAAAAAAAAAAAGTAGCATTAATTTTCATTGACTTCACATCATTTGAGGAAATTCTTACTCTAGAGAGAATATGATTCTAAGAGTGGGAGTCTCGTTATACGTTAACAAGTAGATTTAACGATCATCAGATGCTGGTGACTCCATAGCTGCTTGCTGAAATCATGGCCGTTCTGCCCCCCAAAAATGTCACATAGAGCAGTTAACAATAGTTTTTAAAAGTTCATCATGAAATCAAAGCTCCACTTACATGTGCCAGCACACCAAAATGAGGGAAAACAGCAAATTAGTTGAATTCTTGATTCAAGAATAGAGAATAATTTAATTTTGTCCCCGACATGATAAATTATTTTTAGGACTTAGTACGGCAGAGAACCTTTAAAGATGTCATGACGGATATTTCAATATTAATGTCAGTACCCTGAAGAATATGGCTGTAATTTAAAAAATCACTTTTTAGGCTATTTCTTAATGCATGGCATTTTAAATTATCCAAGATTTCAAGGAGGCCAGGATTTCGTCACGGCCACTTTGGTGAAGCAAAAAAAGAGTGAAGTACAAAGACAAATACCTAAGTCATCTCAGCAAACCAAATATTTAGGTGGCTACTACATGCCAGGCACAACTCGAGTTCCTAGTGATACATCCATGAATAAAAGACAATAAAGACTCTGCCCTCTTGAATAGGACAATGGGGAAAGCAGCCAATAAACACTGTAAACAAGTAAGATAGAAATTCTTACTCTAGATAGAATAGGACTCTAAGAGTGGAAGACTCATTATACTTTAACAATTATATTTAACGATCATCAGATACTGGTGACTTATAGAGTACGGGGAAAGGTGGTTCAAATACTATGGGGCGGGGGAGAAAGCAGAGTAAAGCAGATTGGGGAATCTGGGATTTGTTTGGAGGAGAGGGTTGCTATTAAGTTTGAATGGTCCAGGCAGGTCTCACTGAGGAAGGTGATGTTTGAGCAAAGACTACTGGCAGAGGTGAGGGAGGTAACCATGTGACTCTCCAGAGAGAGGGACAGGTGGTCCCTCCTGTCTTTGAGGAAGAGCAAAAAGGGGACTATAGCAAGAACAGAGGAAGAAGAGTAGGGGATGAAGTCACAGAAGCACTTGGAGGCCAGAGTGGGTAAGGCTTTATTGGTCATTGTAAAAACTGCTGCTTTTCATCTCAGGAAAAAGGAAGCCATTGGAGGGAGGGCTCTGAGCCGAGGGGACCGGGTCTGAGTGGTTGTACCAGGGTCTTTCTGGCAGCTGTGCTGCCACGAGGCTGAAGTAGGGCAAAGGCAGAAGCACTTTTTTTTCCCCCTCCTTTCCGTTCTGGTCCTTTTATTTTTGTAGTAAACTCTCTGGGGGCGGGGGTGGCTGGTGTGGGTTGTGGGGAACTTGTGCGGAGGGGGCCCTCCTGGGCGGGGGCTGGAGGCAGGGTTATTGGCCCGAGCTCCCTGTCCCCAGGTGGCCTCTGTGGGGAGGGTGTCAGGACGGGGGGCCGGCACAAACACGAAGCTGACGGCACGGGGGCGTGGGCAGGCAGGGGAGGCTGGGCGCCATACTGCACTTCGGGAGTGGGGCCAGTCTCCTAGCCAGGAGGCTATTTCAGTAATCCAGGTGAGAGATGATGATGGTTTGGACCAAGAGGGTGCCAAGAGAGGTGGTGGGAAGTGGATCGACTCAGGATACAGTCTGACGGTAGAGCCAATAGGGTTTCCTTTCTTATCATGTCTATTCTTCGACTTAGCTCTTGAAGGATGCAATGATATAGGAAGGTCTTCAGTGTGTTTTGCAGATCTACTCCCTTTTTTTCCTGCTTTATTCTTGAATAACACATTTTCTCTCATGAGTATCATCCTTACCATGTTTGAAAGGACAAAAATATTTTAATGAATTTGTTTAGCTTGATTGGTTTAAGGAATGTAATTTTTCTGCAAATTTTTAGAAATGTGTTTCTAAAACATGATGCTTCCGGAGTCTATCTCTGTAGTAAGGCTTCATTTGTATGCACATTTTGTAATAATACACCACTTGTAGGCAGACATAAAACAAGTATCTCATGTGAAAGAATAACCTCTACCAAGGAAATATTGTAAACTATTACTTTGTGAACTCTAGACTGTAATTAGAGAGTCATCACATACTTGTTAAATTACACAACACAGTAAAAATATACATTGCATCAACACAATTCATTATAATTACAAGTTACTCTAGAAGGCTATTTGAAGTTTCCAAGTAGTAGTACACTTTGCATAAGAGTAATGTACTATATATATTAGGATGTGTATTAAAATTACACTTGAAAATTTAAAATTAAATTTTCCCACATTCAGGAAAGAAACTGGAATATATAGAAAAAAATACCACTGTCAAAGAGGCAAGGGAAGGAGAGGTTAGGAGGATTTATATTAGCAGTTCATGTATGAGACTTCAACACAGTTTGAAAAAGCCTAAGTTCTAGAAGCAGACTCTAGAAGGAATAAAGTAGCATGGTGATTTAGAGCCTGGACTTCAGAGCTGGATCTGGGTTCATAGCCAGCCAGGACCTCTTCAGATGTGTGATTGCTGGCAACTTAACCTCTCTGAGCCTCAGATTCCCTGTGCACACTGGTTAAAAAATTAAGTCCCATAACTCACCTGCACCAGCTTTATTTGAATGTTAGTAAGTTTGCCTTTTCTCCTTTATCTAACTATTCATTTCTTTCCTTCCCTTTCTCCCCTTAGCTTTCTTTATTAATTGACAGATAAAATTGCATATGTTTAAAGTGTACAATGTGATGATTTGCTATGCATACATTGTGGAATGACTACCACACTCAAGGGATGTCGGAGTGTTCTTGGGAAGATGCAATGAGCAAATTCGCATAAAGAGCTTGGCCTACACGAGGCATCCAGCACGCAGTAAATGACAGCTGTAACAACAATTACTATCTTCTTAGGTCCAACCCAGTCTCCTGTTATGGGTGGGGTGGTACGGAACAAATGCTACTTGTCCAAACCAGCCCAGGAGAAAGGCAGGACTGGAAGGGAGGGTCATCCATGGGTAAGTCTTCCTTCTGTGCATGCATGGTGACAACAGGGAAATCTGTATGTGGACAGCTTGTGTAATTATGAAGGAAGTGTGGGCCCAATAGAAAAGAACCGCACGGGGAAAGAGAGAGAGAGTCACGGAAAACAGGTTCATTAGGAGGCATGATGAAGTAGCTAGATATGGGGAGGAGAGGGATGATTATTGGGTGAGGATGGCAGGAAGAGATCAAGCATGCCCAAGGACAGGGAACAGGAAGGTGACTTACAGGTTAGAGAGCATAGGGAGGAGACCTGATTTGCTTCAGCAGGGCCTGAACGTCTTCCTGGGATGTTCTCGTTCCATGAGCAACAGGATGTTCT